CAGAAGAACAGCGGCGTTAAATCACGGGAAATGTCGTCGGAGGCAATCCAGCCACGACTTAGCTGCAAATTACATAATAAAATCGTATTTATCGCGGGCCATTTGCGGTACCTATTAAACCGGTGCGGCACCAGATGCGTATTCCAGTCGGCAGTTGTTCAAAGCTGGCGCGTGTAAACAGCTAATAACGTTTTTGATAATTTCCTGGCTGCCTTGTTGGAGATGTGTTGTAGGTTCATAAAAGTTTTCATTAAATTCCAGTGTTAGCAGAGATTTCTCGTATCCTCGCGAGAGGAAAAATGTGGATTTTCGTTTAAAGAGAAAGGTTGCATGGAGATTCTTACACATAAGGGATGAATGAAGAAAAGATTTTTGAAATATGGAGTTTTTCTTCTGTCCTCCGATTGATTTACCGTTTTTAGAATTGTAATGGGGTTTTACTTTCGTCTGTCCTTCGTTTATAAGATAGAGAAGGAAACAGGAACGGTTCGACGAAGGAGGAAAGCGATTCTGAACGCTGAATGGGTCCAGAACGCACTTTTCCTAGGAAAGGAAAATAAATCTTGGGGAGGATACTAAGGGCGAGAATGAATCTGTACGCAAGTTAGAGTCCAGGTTAGGTCTCTTTCTCCTTTTTTTTTTATTTTAACAGGCAAAGTTTGTATTTCTTCACCTGAAGATAATGAAGGAGTCACCTGTAGCGAGGCCTCGTTATTTCTGAAAGAAGGAATTCTGTCTTCTTCGTTAAAAATCTGTTCCTTTTTCACTTCAGGTCAAAAGTTTCGAATCACTGTGCAATGCAAGTTGCACAAATAATTCCCGACAAAAGTTAGCAACTTTCAGAATTATTTACCACTGAGATGAACAGTGATCCCTGCAATTTCACGATCTTCTCTGTCTCTTATCCTAATGTTCACTTATTTTAATCAAGCAATACACGCCGCACAACGCGTTATTTTATCGTTCAAATCTACCGAAACGAGGTAAATTACTCCTAATCTCCGTACCTAGATCTTCTCCGTCCCTTTTCCTCACTGTTACGAGCGTTCGACCTTGTTCGGTTCAGAGCTCGCTGTGGTCCAGCCTTGATTTAACGATTCTGAACCTCGTTGAGAAGGTATATGGAGACTGTTCTTTTTTATTGATGCTTATTTGAGATCTGATCTGTCGGGCGAGGGTGAGCTCGCTCCTTATACAATTTTGTGCAGTGGTCATCCACCAATCAGGGTTCTTGGGAGAAGGGGATGCCTGTGAGCCGCTTTCGGGGGACCGAATTTGTTAATGTAAAATTGCCAGCCCCGAAAACGGTACCTACCGCGCGGCGCAGGGTAGACCAAGATCTGATCTGCCGAAGTGAAGTCCTAAGGTGACTAATGATTTTTATGGCTATAATCCGCCAGACCGAAGCGAGCTCTTGTGAATTTGCGTGCGACGCAACACTCACGTTCTCTTATTCTAAACAAACAGTATACACCACACAACGCGTTAAGTGAACCAAAAGAACGATAGAATTTATCGTTTATTATTCAACACCCACGTCGCCATTTTGATCTTAGATTGAACCAGCTCGACGAGCTCTAATCACGGTTAAACGTTCCAGATAACAGACAGATTTCCAACTTAGGGGTAGGACGATCCTTTGGAAAAATATTTTTACAGCTCGGCGAGGCAAGGAGCGACGTTGGATCTAATTAAAGGTTGTTTTTCTTGAAAGCCACGGGACCAGATGCGCCGGAGAAGTGGCCGCTGCTCGTGATAATGGCGTCTGCGGCGTAGGCGTCGCTTACGACTCGAAAGTCGCTGGGATCCGAATGTTGGATCAGCCGTATATGACCGATCTGATCGAAGCTAACAGCATGGGACACGAACCTGACCTCATAGACATTTATAGTGCCTCATGGGGACCGACTGACGACGGGAAGACCGTGGACGGGCCACGGAACGCGACGATGAGGGCCATCGTGCGCGGCGTTAATGAGGTGCGTATTAGTGTCACGTTTTTGCCCCTCTCATCATCGATAGGAATCCTCTTACCGGCCTCAACGAAGGCCGTGCGTGAGGGTTGAAACGAACCCTCCTGCCTTGAAACGTCGCTTGCGGTTATTTATTGCTACCATCCAAACTGCCGCACCTCCGAACGTCCATTCTCAAATTATTTGCCAAATTTTCGTCCGTGCAAAATTCGCGCATATTTATAACGATTATCAAAGTTTCTCGTTAGGTTAATTGTGGCGAAAAGGGTTAATTCGTGTAATTTAGGTCTACAAATTTCTTCCCACAAAATTATTTAGAATGCTTTCCAAAGTTTCTCGTTAACTGAATTATCGTGTAAAGGGTTAATTCGGTACACTGTATTCGTCTAATTTAAGTTTACAAATTTCTTACCACAAAATTAGAGATTTCAAGCTATCACGCTTACTCTTAAGGCTTTCGGGTGTAAGCCGTATCCTTATACAATTATTTTCCCAAGGGAGCCTGGAGACACTGATGAAGCCTGCAATGCTGGTGAAATGTTGGAAAAATAATTACACAAGGACACGGCTTACTCCCAAAAGTCTCAAAAATTATCACAAAATAGTTAGTAAAAAAAAAAAAAAAAAAAGAATACAAGTGACACCGAAATAGGTGCCCTAACTTTGCCACCATATCTACGCTACAAATCTGCTACCATCTTCTTAACCCTAGAGCGGTCTTCGGGTCTTTTTTGACCCATCGCCTTCTTATCTTTTTAATTACTTTTGCTGTTGTCAAATTTATGTTCCCTTAACGTTGCATCGAAAGTTCATTACCTAAAAATTGTTACACCTAAGACCTTCAGGTCAAAAAAGACCCGAAAACCTCAAGTGTACAGTCGAACGAAAGAACGCACTAGGGTTAATACTGAAAGAACGCCAATCACCTAATTCACCATCACTCTGTACATCAATTCTTGAAAAATGTACGATTTACGAGTAACGTGGCCGAATAAAAACCGCGATGTATCGATGCACGTTCGAGGGATGGGAGTAAATAAACGCGTTCCAAGGGAAAAATTCTCACGTGACGTGTATTCCGCTCGGACGTGTGCAGACTTTATTTCACGCGAACTCCATGCTGACCTTTTCGCAACGCGTCGACACTGTCCTGATTTCTCGCGAGAGCCAACTTCCACGTACCATCGCGGCGGAACTTTTATCTGAAACGACGGCATGTGTAATATTTACGTTGACAAACGGCCTGCCGTGACAACTGTTTCCTAGCTGACGATACAACTACCATCCCCCGCGTCCATCTTTCAACAGCTGGAATCTCCGAGATAACAGCGTTGCTGAAGCATCGATCCAAGAGATTCCGTCTTTGTGATACGCGATCAGTTTCTGATAACGCTCTGCACAGGCGGAACTGATGTCACCTAGTTCTAAGTTTCAAGCACAATGCACAGTGGTAAATGGTCTCTGCCCGTCGGAACTGGAGTCGCTTATCAGGGCTGGAGTTGCTGTTCAATCGTTGCTGCTCATCGTTGTCTCCGGTTACTCCGTTGAACTTTGTTAAATGGCGGAGGAAAATTGAATCAATCGGTTCTAGCAAACGTGTACTGTCCTTTAGAATTCGGAATTCTCATCCTGCGCGACGATAAGCAGTTTTATCTACGAAACTTAAACTCTACCCTGTGGAAGACAGAGAAAAGTGTTAAAAGATATCGAAAACCGATCGTCTATTGTTCCTCATTTGTCAGAAGAATAAGCTTACGACACGTGAATTAAACACGAGAGATCATACGTTTCTCCTGATTGTAAAGTTAAATACATGCTAGGAAAATAAAATTTTGGAATCCTGAAGAATAGCAAATTAGTCGACCGTGTCATAAACTTAGGGCAATCTAGAGATTTATTGGACTATATTAGCGAAAGTGTGTCCAAAATTACAGAAATTTTCAATAAAAATGTTTAATTTTCACGAACTTCCTTTTTTTTTCAAAAATGAACGACTTAAAACCTCAGGAATTTTCACAATCGACTGTTTTCATTCGTTATATCGTTCGATTCGTTCAGCAGCCGTGTTAGACTTCTCGCACGAGGTTCTTGTTCCCCAAGAACTTTCTTTCCGCAAACTCCTCGCCTGAAAGTTCAAGCTTGTAGGGCTTTCGAAATTTACCGGAGAATTCGAGCAGGATTCTGCTAGCTAGTGAACTTCCGATCTTCCGGCTTCCTCCAGATTAATTTTCCTTGTTCTTCGAATTACTCCCGGTGTATCTACGCTGATAGTACATATGTAGAAGATACTGTACGACGTTTATCACTTAACTGACAATGCCGTCGTAAAATTTCTTCTCGTTAACGAAGAGCTAGTCTTCTATCGAACTTGTCGATGTACTTCGTATTTCCAGTCACGTACGATAATTTGATCAATAACCAATTCGCACTGGCACGTATCTCCTGGAGGATTCACGTTTTCTGACGCGTTCTTCGAGATTTTCCTGCCTTCGTAGAGGGATTTTCCGACTTTTCCCTTGCGATCAGAATTCCGACCTCGCACCGTGACTTATATGTATATCTTCCCCCGTGTGATTTTCTTTCGACGTCTTTATCTCCTTATGCGTCTGAAAATATGGCTCTTCCTGCTTTTGAACGTGATTTTTCGAGTTTCAATAATTTTTAGCGAATGGAAGTTAGTATTCCCCTGAAAATATGGTTCGCACGATTTTTGGAGTCCAATAAATTTTAGTGAATGGAAGTTAGTATTTCTCTGAAAATATGGCTCTTCCTGCTTTTGAAAGTGATTTTTCGAGTCTGTGATAATTTTTGGTGAATGAAAGTTAGTATTTCTCTGAAAATATGGCTCTTCCTGCTTTTGAACGTGATTTTTCGAGTTTCAATAATTTTTAGCGAATGGAAGTTAGTATTCCCCTGAAAATATGGTTCACACGATTTTTGGAGTCTAATGATTTTTAGCGAATAAAAGGTAATATTTCCCTGAAAATATGGTTCACACGATTTTTGGATTCCAATAATTTTTAATAAATGAAAGTTAAATTAGAGATACCTTTCTTATTTCCAAATTGATCAATCAGAATTTGGACTTTGAATTAAAGAAGAGATTTTTGAAGCTTTCGCAATTCTTTGGTAAGAAAGTTTGGACGTATCTTAGGAACGATTAGCAAATGTGAACGCTAGTTTGAAGAATTATCCAGAATTTGCAGGTTTGATCAAAGAGCTTTTCATCTCCGCATTCACCGCTCGTTCGACTATATCCTTCCGTTTTCCTCTCCAGTAGAGAGAAACCATATTTCCCCTTGGAGAAAAAGAAGGGTACAGCAAGTAATAAAGTTAATTCGCCAAGTTCTTCTTACGTGGGAAGGGGGGGAAGTGGCGAACCGGTGTCCTAATTAACTTCGTAATTGCGCCGTGAATTTCTGGCGGTCCACGATGGTCGTTTCATTTGGCTCTTAAGCCGAGTATAAACAAACCACCCTTCCAGCTCTCGATCGATCCTCTCTTGAACGCTTTCGAACATCCCCTTGGCTCCGTGCTAACTCAAAGAAGTTTCGTATGTGTCGTTGATGACGTTCAACTATCAAACCTTTTCTAAAAAAATAACGTAAAACGTCCTCTATTATATCAAAGTTTCCTTTCAAACACCCTCGGTGATATTAAAATTATCCATAGTCGTGTTCAGGGTGGAAAGATGAAAAGGTTCAATTATCGATCGTGTAATTGATAAGAATGCTGTGGGTGGATGGAACAGGTAAAATTCGATACCTTTAATATATTTATGTAACAACAACTTCTACCCGCGTAGGAAGAGACGAAGTTACTTCGTTTTCATCGGATTTTATAGAAAATAACAGGTGGAAGTTGACGAGAAGTGGCCGATAATTAGAATGAATCCAATCAGTGTACGCTTTATTTCGAAGGAAAACGTTGATAATATCGATCGCAGAGATGACGTAGACATAATTACCGGGTTAATTGGACGGATACGTGGAAAGGTCGTGAACGTTTATTAAATTTTTGTCGTTGGTTCGTCGTAACAACGTTACCGTAGCTAATTCCGAGTGAAACGAACGGGGTAGAATCGAAGAAAACCTCCCCGAAACACGGTTCTATTCCTCTCGACGGCTCGAGAGGATCGTTTCATTTGGAATATAATTACAGGAATCTCGTCGAGACGTTCGAGGAATGTATTGGAATCGATACGATTCTCGTTACCCTTGTTATGGACCGCGAATAATTAGTCCAGCAATTAAATTCATCGAACGTCGAGCGTTTGTGTGGCTCTCTGTACTTTGTTCTCGGTAATTCACGCGTCTTTGTCTTTGGATAATAGTCGACGAGGGATTGAAGAAATTGAACTAAACAGAAGAAATTAGAGCGTCGATCGATCTCTTGGAACATTTGCATCTCTAAATTGCTATGCTTTAACGAGGTTCTTCTTAAACAAGGAATGGGTAGTCGACAAGTGTCAAGTTCAAATAACCGTGTTCATGGTTATTTGGTGTTAGGCGAACGTCAACCCTCGTTTCGGGACGTTCCTTTAACAACCAGTCGTTGCACACGAGAGTTATGACAGCTCGTTACATCGTAGCGACAGCCAATCGAGGGCTGAAGTCCTTGGGGGGATACTACTGTCGTTGACGAAATATATCTTGCTATATTTTCGATTGTAACACTGTCCGGAATATATGTCTAACGGAGAACAAACTAAAATTTAACGTGGAATTTGTATTGTTAAGTGTTGTTCGTATAGCGATAATTGGTACAATATGTTAAGTGAATATAATGATAATTTGACTGTAGAACAACGCTAAGACAGGTGTTAGGCACCTTTAGCAACTATAGAATGACTCTTACAACACTTTGACTCTATCTACAGCACTCTGTCTCCATGCAGAACACTCTGACTCTATCTGTATCACTTCGACTCTATCCACAGCACTCTTACTCTATCTAGAGTACTTCTGACTCTATCTAGAATACTTCGACTCTATTCACAGCACTTATGACTCTGTCTACAATACTCTGACTCTATCCACAGCGCTCTGAGTCTATCCACAATACTCTTACTCTATCTAGAATACTTCTGACTCTATCTAGAATACTTCTGACTCTATCTACAGCACTCTGACTCTATCCACAACACTTCGACTCTATCCACAGCACTCTGACTCTATATACAACGAACTGACGAAGAGGCAACGTTTTTACGATACTACATTAATGTATATTACTTTGTATATTGCATTAAGTAAACCTATAATTCTGCTACACTCCAGGGTCGACGAGGGCTAGGAAATATTTACGTGTGGGCTTCCGGGGATGGAGGAGAGGAAGACGATTGTAACTGCGATGGCTATACGGCCAGTATGTGGACGGTGAGCATTAACAGCGCCATCAACGACGGTCAGAACGCCCAGTATGACGAGAGCTGTTCGAGTACCCTGGCATCGACGTTCAGCAACGGTGCTAAGGATCCCATTATAGAGGTGGTAAGTGGACATCTCTATGTGTGTTGTACCCTCTCTCCCTGAAACTTGAGAGCTCCCTAATGAATTCGCGAGATTCCACAGTTGTAAAAAGATTTTATGGTTCGGTGTAGAGGAAAGGTGTTAAGTTGTAACGAGTCATAAACTATTCACTGAAAGTGTTAAGTGCTTCCAGACTTTGTACGTGCTTTTCATGGATCTTGTTTTTTTTCTTCTTCTTCTTCTTCTGCCTATAGTTAGCTGGCACCTTAGCATCAGATTAAACGAGATGTAAGTTCGCTAAGTGCAAGGTCAATTGGATTTTTTTTTTTAACCACAATGATTTATAGATTTAAATTGGTCAACCTGTATAATGTCTAAGATACACGCACGAATTACCTGTTATATAGTTAAAATCGTCGAGTTGAACTCTATTTTGTTGTATCTCCAACGAACTCTTTCAGTATGTTTCTATATTTGTTACAAACTTTTAGAAACCTTGTCCAAAACTCTCACCTTACCAAAATCTAGGCTCATTAACCCTTCGACAGTTTACCCCCAGTAATTATTCAAAAGGTACGTGTAAAATATGAATTTCATTCACTCTAATTCCTAATTATATTAGACTGTCAAAGGGTTAATACTTCGAAGACGACGCCCGGGTCACTTTAGACCCGACTACAAGCATACATACATTTCCTCTTCGATCCTTGAAACCTTTTCCTATTACCGACCATCATATACCATATCAACACTCCTAGAAATAATGAAAAGCGCATAATAAGACACTTACGTTCCACTCCAAATACACCGAGCACCGCCGTTCGGGTGTTAACAACGTCCTCATAAAAATAACCTGCCTACCGATAAAGCACGAAAGAATCGTCTACAAGTCTTTGACAAGATCACGTATAATCTCCACTTTTGTTCTTGAACTGCAACCACCGGGGAAAGTTGTCTCTAATACCCAACTTATTGGCCAATGTACAGATAAAGGCCGGCCTCTAATTACCGGCAGAGATATTGCTTCCAAAGCTGAATTACGGAAGGTTATCAAGCATTTGTCCGGTTGGTCCGCCCACGTTGATTCATCAAAAGGGTCCTCGTCCGGTCGATGTATCGAGCATTGTTCCAAGGTAGTACAAAGCACGTGAAACGACCGGCCCGGCGGCCTGTCACGAATATCGCGTTTCGACCGCGCGAATTATTAATAACGAGCAGACCGTCGCAACGATATTATACGCGGAGAAAGATGGTTACGAGGGAACGTGGGTGTGGATAAAGCTGGAGAGGAGGAGAATCGCGAACACGGGCGCGCGTGTGTGTGTCAAAGCGAGATAAGAATTCAGGTAGCTTTCGAGGGTTGAAGCGAACCCCCTATGTGTGCGGTCGTTGGACACACGTGTGAAGATAAACTCGGTCATTTTTTCACGGTTCACGAGACAGGAGGCAAATGTTAGGTGGTATCCCGAAGGAAACACTCTGTGAAATTTTATTTCGTTGAAGGAAACTCGATATGACTACTTCGCTTTTGGACGTGAAACGGAGGGATGATGATGAGTGAAAACTTGGTTTTTCGAAGTTAGTTTAATTATTGTACGAAGAAGGAAACGTTATTGCTCGGTGTTTGTTGTGCATTTTTAATTGTGAAGTAGAGAGATTTTATGCGTTTAAGTGACTAAGGTAACAGTTGCAATTTCCATTCAGTTTTAATTCAGATTATGAACTGAAGAGATTCTGTTTGTGTTTCATAAGTGGATCAAGTTAACAGTTGCAAGTTTTAGTAGAGAGATTTTATGCGTTTAAGTGACTAAGGTAACAGTTGCAATTTCCATTCAGTTTTAATTATGAACTGAAGAGATTCTGTTTGTGTTTCATAAGTGGACCAAGTTAACAGTTGCAATTTTCACTCAGTTTTAATTATAGACTAGAGAGATTCCATTTGTGTTTGAGAAGTGAACCAAGCTAACATTTGCAATTTTCACTCATTTTTCATTGCAGACTTGAGAGATTTAATTTCTGTTTAAGAAATGAACCCAGTTGCAATTTTCACTTAGTTTTAATTGTAGACTAGAAAGATTTAATTTCTGTTTAAGAAATGAACCCAGTTGCAATTTTCACTTAGTTTTAATTGTAGACTAGAGAGATTTAATTTCTGTTTAAGAAATGAACCCACTTGCAATTTTCACTCAGTTTTAATTGTAGACTAGAGAGATTTAATTTCTGTTTAACAAGTGAACCCAGTTGCAATTTTCGCTAATTTCTAATTATAGACTAGGCAGATTGAATTTTTGTTTAACAAGTGGACCAAGTTAACAGTCGCAATTTTCACTAACTTTCAATCATACACTAGATTCAATTTCCATTTAACAAGTGAGCCCAGTGGAAAGGTTAAAAGAGAAAATTTATCCGCGTGCATCCGAAAAAAACAGAAAATCTGCAGCGCAGAAACCCTTCGAGCCGCTATTTTCCAAGCGTAATAACGCCGTTCAGAGTGGACCACCCTTAACGCGGCCTTACCTCGCGCTTAACAACCGGCACGTTCTGCAAGAATTCAAAGGACTCCTGGAGGAATAATATAAGCTTTATAGAAACGCGAAAGCAGGCGATTGCTCAGCAGGAGTTAGACGTTTTACCTCCATTCAAATATATCCTCTTACTCCTTGGATACTTGTTGAATACACAGACAAAAAAGAACTCCCTCGATGGAAAACGTTTAACGAATAGATTTAACTTCCTACTTAATTATACACCAGAGAGCGATTATCCTGGATCTCTCTAGAAATAGGAGAGGGAAAGACAGAGCACAGTGGAAGGGACTAAAACGAAATTCTCTGATGGTAGCTGCTTACTCGAGCCAACGAAGATTAGATCGTGAACTGGTCTGTTGGGACACGTTGTGTTCTTCACGCGAGATTGTTCGCTGATGGGACCACGTTTATGGGACATTTGAAAATTGTCGATCAGCCGGGAGAGTCTGTGTGTTTCCACGAGGAAAGTAGGATATTTTTTCTTTTTTTTCCTCTCTCTCTCTCTCTCGTGTAAAGATATCGTACGCGAAAGGATCGTTGCCATCACTCGCGAGATTAACGTGGACGAGGAATTCCTGTTTCTTGGCTCGTAAAAGTTAGACAGCGTTTTTATGGACGCTCATCGTCTATCGATCGTTCTATAAGGAGGCTCTTCGATGCGGAAAGGAGGATCCCTGGTATCGTTCGTGGTTCCTCAGTTTTTATTGGCTCAATGAAACCGGCTCTCCTCGTCGGAGAAGAAGACAATCGTTCTGCGACAATGACGGAATCGCGATTGCAAGATCTGATTTCAGAAGGTTTCAGATTCGTTTTTGATGAATATAATAACGTTCCGTTTCGTAAGTTGTGGGAGTGCAGAAAGTATTTTATGAATTAAATTAATTGTGCGAGATTTTAGATTGAATATTTTTTTTTTTTAGGATTTTAATGATTTTGTAATGAGTTTTGTGTGTCGAATAATTTTGTGTTGAACTTACTGGACACAGTAGATTTCAGTAGATTTTCATAGACTTTGATAAATTTCAGTAGAATTCAGTGACTTTCAACAAATTTCAGCAGAATTCAGCGACTTTCAACAAATTTCAGTAGAATTCAGCGACTTTCAACAAATTTCAGTAGAATTCCCTAAAATTTATCAGCCCCAATACTTAAAAACACAAGTACACCTCCTCTCTCCCATCTCTCCCTTATTTTCTTTAATAAAACCCACAAAAATGCTCAGATAAACGTACGAGATACACGATCTACATTTTTCCCCGTTTCAACCAAGGAATTTCCCAAGCATGCGATTCCACGAGACACAAAAGAGTATTAAAAAATCGTTTACCTTCCCATAGAAACTACACCACTAAAGAAACCCCAGATTCCTCCAAGCAAGAGCCTTTTTTCGATAAAATTTTCTAAACGATTCGTCAACCGCATCCTTCTCGTTTACAATCTCCGTATCAACGACGAGCACACTTCTGCATAGATTCTCCTCCCTGGTATTTTCGCGTTCAATAGCTGGAGGTTTTATGGACGAACACGGTCCGCCACGGATTTCCATCGTTTTCTCTCTGCTCGACGAAAATTTCACGCTCGAACGGAGGGGAAAATAGAGAAGAAAGTCGGGGGATGAAGAACGTCCATGACGCGGTTTACACGTGTCACTTTCCGACGAAGATTTATTCTCAACTCGATCGCAGTGTTTAAAAAGCAGAATACAGTAAATTCTCTACAAGAGTCAGTAAGTTTGGATTCTACAAGTGACAGTATAGATGGTCCTACGCCTAGGTCTGCGTCATTGCTGCGCCCATGTTATCTCGCTCGCAGTCAGTCAAGCGTGTAACGCTACACCAGTCGGTTTCCTTTACGAGATTACACGGCTCGACAAATCATAATAGAAAAATATAATTTCTTTAATTTTCCTTTTTTTCATCTGGAATTTTTTTTAACATGTTGCTGAGATTTTTCTGATGAAAATGATATCAAACACGATATAAT